GGCCAAAACGAAATGGGAGATCTGGCTTGCACCCGTCACCCACCTTGCCTGGGTCCGCTGCGCCCGCCTTCCATGCAGCGCCCCTTGCCGTTCTCCCCGCGGAGGCCGCACCACCCGCACCGCGGCTGCTGGATGCAAAGGGCGCACTGCTGGAACCGCGCACAGGACGGCGCACAGCTCTCGGAGCCGCTCAGCACCCGGCCACACATCCCGGCCGCGCAGCGCATGGGCAGGTATGTGGGACTCATGCACTGCAAAGAGGCAGAAAAGGAGGATCAGGTTTCCCTTCACAGGTGCACACAACATCTCAAACATGCACCGGAAATACAATTATGTGTGGTATATTTGCATTGTGCACAAAACAAATCGGAATTATGCACCAGAAATACAATTATACATGGTGTATTTGCACACAACACAAATGCACCCATCAATCTGAATTATGCACTGAAAATAAAATTATGCATGGTATATTTGCACTGCCTACAACATAATCTAAACTATGCACCAGAAATACAATTATGCATGATATTATTGCAATGCACACAGCACAAATCTGAATTATGTATTGAAAATAAAATTATCCATGGTATATGTGCACTGCCCAGAACGGAAATGCAGCCACCAATCTGAATTATGCCCTTAAAATGCAATTATGCATGGTAAATTTGCACTTCCCACAACACAAATCTCTATTATGCACAGGAAATACAATTATGTGTGGTATATTTGCATTGCACACAACACACATCTGAATTATGTACTGAAAATAAAATTATCCATGGTACATGTGCACTGCCCAGAACAGAAATGCACCCACCAGTTTAAATTATGGATGATATGTTTGCATTACACACAATACAAATTGGAATTATGCACTGAAAATAAGGTTATGCATGGTGTATTTGAACTGCGCACAACACAAATCCGAATTATGCACCGGAAATACATTTATGCATGGTGTATTTGCATTGCACACAACACAAATCTAAATTATGCACTGGAAATACAATTGTGTGTGGTATCTTTGCATTGCACACAACACAAATCTGGATTATGTACTAAAAATAAAATTATCCATGATATATCTGCACTGCCCACAACACAAATCTGAATTATGCACCAGAAATACAATTATGTGTGGTTTATTTGCATTGCACACAACACCAATCTGAATTATATACCTAAAATAAAATTATCCATGGTATGTGTGCACTGCCCACAACACAAATCCACCCACCAATCTGAATTATATATGGTATTTTTCCATTGCACACAATACAAATCTGAATTATGCACCGGAAATACAATTATGCATAGTGTATTTGCGTTGTGCACTACACAAATCTGAATTATGCACCGGAAATATAATTATGCATGGCGTATTTGCGTTGCGCACAACACAAATCTGAATTATGCACCAGAAATACAATTACGCATGGTGTATTTGCGTTGTGCACAATACAAATCTGAATTACACACCGGAAATACAATTATGTGTGGTGTATTTGCATTGCGCACAACACAAATCTGAATTACGCACCAGAAATACAATTATGCATGGTGTATTTGCGTTGTGCACAATACAAATCTAAATTATACACCGGAAATACAATTATGCGTGGTGCATTTGCGTTGCGCACAACACAAATCTGAATTATGCACCGGAAATACAATTATGCATGGTGCATTTGCATTGGACTCAGGACACACCTGAATCTTGCATCTTGCAGGAGAGCCTTACCTGCTGCAAGGAGACGCTCCAGACGCACTGCTGCCACCCGCCGTCGGCCCCCTTGGAGCTGAGGCACTCTGCGCACGTGCTGTGGTTGTGGCAGGGCGTGGGGCAGGCCAAGGGCGGGGAGGACTCCACGGGCATCGGGGAGACATTCAGGAGCGAGTGGCTGAAGCACGTCCAATCGTAGGTGGGCTGCACGCTCAGGATGCGCCGCGTCTCCCCTGTCAATCAGAGAATCCCAGGACCCTAGAGCTGGAGGGCACCCCAAGGGCCATCCAGTCCAACCCCTTCTGCCAGGCTGGGAGTACACCACCGATCCCTCCTGGCAGATGGCCATCTAGCCTCTGACTACTCTCCCTGAACCACACCTGAAAGCAGGTGAAAATGCACCATTTCACCTCCCACTATCTGATTCATTGATTGATTGATTGATTGATTGATTGGTCCACCTAGAGCCTTATCCATTGTCCCAAGAACCGTCCCAACTTCCTAGGCCACCTATTCAATGCAATTTGATTGACTGATTGATTGATCAATTTATTAGTCTATTGTCTCCAAAACCTTCCCATCTTCCTGGGCCACCTATTCAATGTTATTGAATTGAGTGATTGATTGATTAGTTAATTTTTCCAAAAACCATCCCAACCTCCTGCAATTTAATTGACTGACTGATCGATTGATTAGTCCACTCAGAGGCTCATCCATTGTCCTGAGAACCTTTCCATCCTCCTAGGCCAACTATTCAATGCAATTTGATTGATAAATTGATCAACTGTTGAGTCCAAGACTGACTAACTGACTGATCAACTGATTAGCCAACCTAGAACCTCATCCAGTGTCCCAAAACTGTTCCCAACATCCTGGGCCACCTATTCAATGCAATTTGATTGACTGATCGATTCATCAATTGAGGAATTGATTGGTCCACCCAGAGCCTCATCCATTGTGCTATGAACCTTTCCATTCTTTTGGGCCACCAATTCAATGCAATTTGACTGACCAATTGATAGATTAGTCCATGATTGATAGATTAGTCCCTGATTGATTGATCGATCAATTGATTAGTCCACCCAGATCCTCATCTATTGTCCCGAAAACCTTTCCATCCTCATGGACCACCTATTCAAAAGCAATTTGATTAACTGATCAATAGATTAGTCCATGATTGGGTGACTGATTAGTCCCTGATTGATTGATTGATCAATTGATTAGTCCACCCAGAGCCTCATCCAGTGTACTACAAACCTTTCCATCCTCATGGGCCACCTATTCAAAAGCAATTTGATTAACTGATCAATAGATTAGTCCATGATTGGGTAATTGATTAGTCCCTGATTGATTGATCAATTGATTAGTCCACCCAGAACCTCATCCACTGTACTACGAATCTTTCCATCCTCATGGGCCACCTGTTCAAAAGCAAATTGATTAACTGATCAATAGATTGGTCCATGATTGGGTGATTGATTAGTCCGATTGATTGGTTGATCAATTGATTAGTCCACCCAGAGCTTCATCCATTGTACTATGAATCTTTCCATTCTTTTGGACCACCTATTCAATGTAATTTGATTGACTGATCAATATATTAGTCCATGATTGGGTGATTGATTAGTCCGATTGATTAGTTGATCAATTGATTAGTCCACCCAGAGCCTCATCCATTGTACTACAAACCTTTCCATTCTTTTGGGCCACCTATTCAATGCAATTTGATTGACTGATTGATTCATTAGTCTATGATTGCGTGATTGATTAGTCCCTGATTGATTGATCAATTGATTAGTCCACCCAGAGCCTCATCTATAGTCCTGAAAACCTTTCCATCGTCCTGGGCCAGCTATTCAATGCAGTTTAATTGATTGATTGATCAATTGATTAGTCCACCCAGAGCTTCATCCAACTGTCCAAAGAACCTTTCCATCCTTTTGGGCCACTTATGCAATGCAATTGGATTGATTAATTGATTAGTCCATGACTGACTGATTGATCAATTGAGTTCCCTAGGGGAGATAGGGTGAAATGCAAATAAAGTATTATTATTATTATTATTATTATTATTATTAGTCCACCCAGAGCCTCATCCATTGTCCCGAAAACATTTCCATCCTCCTGGGCAATTTAATTGATTGATTGATCAATTGATTAGTCCACCCAGAGCTTCATCCAACTGTCCAAAGAACCTTTCCATCCTTTTGGGCCACTTATCCAATGCAATTGGATTGATTAATTGATTAGTCCAAGACTGACTGATCGATCAACTGAGTCCCCTAGGGGAGATAGGGTGAAATACAAATTATTATTATTAATATTAATATTATTATTATTACAATTGTCTGGTTGGCCCTGACACGATAAAATAAATAAAATAAATAAAATTATTATTATTATTATTATTATTATTATTACAATTGTCTGGTTGGCCCTGACATGATAAATAAATAAAATAAATAAAATTATTATTATTATTATTATTATTATTATTACAATTGTCTGGTTGGCCCTGACACAATAAATAAATAAAATAAATAAAATTATTATTATTATTATTATTATTATTATTATTATTATTATTATTATTACAATTGTCTGGTTGGCCCTGACATGAATAAAATAAATAAAATAAATAAAATTATTATTATTATTATTATTGTTATTATTATTATTATTATTATTATTATTATTATTACAATTGTCTGGTTGGCCCTGACATGATAAATAAATAAAATAAATAAAATTATTATTATTATTATTATTATTACTAATAATAATAATAATACAATAATAATGCAGGTAATACATTTTAACTGTACCCTCAACTCGCTTCTGACACAATAAATAATAATAATAATAATAATAATAATAATTATTATTATTATTATTATTATTATTATTACAATTGTCTGGTTGGCCCTGACATGATAAATAAATAAAATAAATAAAATTATTATTATTATTATTATTATTATTATTATTATTATTATTATTATTACAATTGTCTGGTTGGCCCTGACATGATAAATAAATAAAATAAATAAAATTATTATTATTATTATTATTATTATTATTACAATTGTCTGGTTGGCCCTGACACAATAAATAAATAAAATAAATAAAATTATTATTATTATTATTATTATTATTATTATTATTATTATTATTATTACAATTGTCTGGTTGGCCCTGACATGATAAATAAATAAAATAAATAAAATTATTATTATTATTATTATTATTATTATTATTATTATTATTACAATTGTCTGGTTGGCCCTGACACAATAAATAAATAAAATAAATAATAATTATTATTATTATTATTATTATTATTACAATTGTCTGGTTGGCCCTGACATGATAAATAAATAAAATAAATAAAATTATTATTATTATTATTATTATTATTATTACAATTGTCTGGTTGGCCCTGACACAATAAATAAATAAAATAAATAAAATTATTATTATTATTATTATTATTATTATTACAATTGTCTGGTTGGCCCTGACACAATAAATAAATAAAATAAATAAAATTATTATTATTATTATTATTATTATTATTACAATTGTCTGGTTGGCCCTGACACAATAAATAAATAAAATAAATAAAATTATTATTATTATTATTATTATTATTATTATTATTATTATTATTATTATTATTATTATTATTACAATTGTCTGGTTGGCCCTGACATGATAAATAAATAAAATAAATAAAATTATTATTATTATTATTATTATTATTATTATTATTATTATTATTATTATTACAATTGTCTGGTTGGCCCTGACATGATAAATAAATAAAATAAATAAAATTATTATTATTATTATTATTATTATTATTATTATTATTATTATTATTATTATTACAATTGTCTGGTTGGCCCTGACATGATAAATAAATAAAAATAATAATAATAATAATAATAATAATAATAATAATTATTATTATTATTATTATTATTATTATTATTATTATTATTGAGTCCACCCAGAGCCTCATCCATTGTCCTGGGAACCTCCCCATTGCATCAGCTTCCTTAGTTTCTGCATCTCTGCCGCGCATGCTCACCGGTGCGCTTGAACTGTCGCGTCCACATGCACTTCCCGGAGGCGGTGCACTTGGCGCAGTCGGAGGCCTCGCAGGAGATCTCGGAGCAGTTGCTGGCCACGAAGATCTCCCGCTGGTTGATGCGGCAGTCGTTCTCGGAGGTGCAGCTGCCCGCGCTGCCGATGCAGGCGCCCTCGGGGCAGTTGGTGCACCACTTGCACTGCGGCACCGCCTGCAAAGCGGCCACACTCAGGTTGCACTGCCCTAGGGTGGGCTGGATGACCGAGGGGTGCCCCTTCCCACGCCACGCTACTCACCGGGATGCCCAGGCTGTGGGCCATGGCCCGGGGATGCTGGGAAAGGCACTCGCTGCAGGTCTTGAGGCGGCGGCACTCGTCCGCGGAGCGCGGGGTCGGGAAGCAAGAGGAGCCCCCCAAGGAACAGCCCTGCCTGGAAGGAAGGAAGGAAGGAAGGAAGGAAGGAAGGAAGGAAGGAAGGAAGGAAGGGTGATGGAGGAGGACAGAAGGAGGTGTGGAAGGACAAAAGGGAGGTAGGAGAGGGAGAGGTAGGTAGGTAGGTAGGTAGGTAGGTAGGTAGAAAGGAAGGAAAGAAGGAAGGAAGGAAGAAGGAAGGAAGGAAGGAAGAAGGAAGGAAGGAGAGGTGATGGAGGAGGAGGATGGAAGGAAGAAAGGAGGAAGGAGAGAGATAGAGGAAGGAAGGAAGGAAGGAAGGAAGGAAGGAAGGAAGGAAGGAGGAGGGAGGAGGAAGGAAAAGAGGGGGAGGGAGGGGAGGGAGGGAGGAAAAAGAGAAGGAAGGAGGAAAGGGATGAAAGGGCGGAAGGGAAGGAAAGAGGGATGGAGGAAGAGGGAGAGAAGGAGGGAAGAGATGGAGGGAGGGAAGGGTGAAGGGAAGAGAAAGGGAAAAAATAGGGAAGGAGGGAGGGAGATGGCAGGGTTGGAAAGAGGGAAAGAAGGAGAAGAGGATGGATGGAGAGGATGGATGGAAAGGAAGAAAGAGGGGGGAAAGGAATGGAAGGATGGAGGGAAATGAAGGGAAGGAAGGAAGGAAGAAAAATAGGGAGGGAAAGAAATGGCAGGAAAGAAAGGAAGGGGGAAGGAGGGAAGGAGGAGGAAGAAGAGAAGGAAGAAGGAGGAAGGAAAGGAGAGAGAGAGAAAGAGGAAGGAAGGAAGGAAGGAAGGAAGGAAGGAAGGAAGGAAGGAGAGAAATGAAGGGGGGAAGGAAGGTGGGGAAATGGTAGGAAGAAGGAAGAAAACAATAGGGAAGGAGAAAAGAAATGACAGGAAAGAAAAGAAAAGAAAAGAAAAGAAGGAAAAGAGAGGGATGAAGAGAAGGAAGGAAAAAGGAATGAAGAGAGAAGGGAGGGAAGAAAAGGAGAAGGAAAGTAAGGGAGGGAGGGAAGGAGGAAAAATAGTAGGAAGGAAAGGAGAAAAGACAGGAAAGGATATGGCAGGAAAGGAAAGGAAAGGAAAGGAAGGAAGAAGGGGGAGGAAGAAAGGAAGGAAAGGATGGACCAAAATGAAGGAAGGAGAGAACACAGAAGAAGGAGGAAAAAAGAAAAAGATAGGGAGGGAGGGTGATGACAGGAAAGAAGAAAGAAGAAAGGAAAGAAAGAAGAAAGAAAGGAAGGAAGAGGGGGGAAAGGATGGAGAAAAAAAGGAGAAGGAAGGAAAGGGAGGAAAAGAGAGAGGGAAGAGGAAATAAAGGAAGGAAGGAAGAAAGGAAGAAGAGAAAGAGAAAGTGAGGAAGTAAGAACTAATCAGATTACACGGAAAGAGGAAGAAGGAAGAAGAGGAAAGAAAAAAGGAAGGACGAAAGGGTGAAAGAGAATGGAGGGAAAGGGAAGAGAAAGGAGAGGAGAAAGGAGGAGAAAGAGAGAGAAGGAAGAAGAGAAGAGAAGAGGAAGGAGAAGGAAGGAAAGAGAGAAAGGGGGGAAAGGATGGAAAGAAAAGGAAGAAGGAGGAAAGGAGAAAAAGAGAGCGAGGGAGATAGCAGGAAAGGAAGGGAGAAAGGATAGAAGGAAGGAAGGAAGGGAGACCCAAGAAAGAAAAGGAAGTATGTAGGAAATGAAGGGAGTAAAAGAAAGAAAAAAGAAGTAAAAGAAAGAAGAAGGGAAGAATGAAAGAAAGAGGAAAGGGAAGGAAGGAAGGAAGGAAGGAGTGAAGAAGAAGGAAGGAAGGAAGGAAGGAAGGAAGGAAGGAAGGAAGGAAGGAAGGAGAGAGAAGGAAAGAGGAAGGGAGGGAAGGCAAATAGGAAGGAAGGATGAGAGGAAGGAAGACTGTAAGAAAGGAAGGAGGGAAGGAAGGAAGCAAAGAAGGACGGAAGCCAAGGAGGAAGGAATTAAGCAGGCAAGGAAAGAAGGAAGGATGCAAGGTAGGAGAAAAGGAAGGGAGGAAAGAAGGGTGCAATGAAAGAAGGATAAGGATGTAAAAAGTGAAAATAGAAAGTTATGGTATTGGATGAAATGTAAGGGAGAGAGAGGAGGGAGAATGAGTTTAGTATCCTCAATAATGGCTTCTCCTCAACTTTCCCCACCAGTACTGGTGCATAAGAACAAAGGACTTTATTGGTCTATTGAGGAGGAAATGGCAAAAAGGGGATCAGGATAGTTATCGTTGGTTATAATTAATTATTTATTAAAGCTTTCTGAGTCACAAAGTTATATTATTATTATTAATATATTATAGTTATATTATATATATTATAATTATTATATTATTATATTATAGTTATTATTATATAATTATTATATTAATATATTATAATAATAATTATTATTATTAATATATTATAGTTATTATTATATTATAATTATTAAATTAATGTATTATAGTTATTATTATTATATATATTATTATATTAATATATTATATTATTATTATTATATTAATATATCCTATTAATATTTTATAATGATCCAATTATTATATTTACATTTTTAATAATTTATTATCATTCAAAATCACGAATATAATTTTATTACAATTTTTATCAATTTTTTTAAAAATAATATTAGAAGGAAAGGAGGAAAGGGAGGAAGGAAGGAAGGAATGAATGAATGAAGGAAAGAAAGAAATAGGGAAGAGTGAGAAGGGAGAGAAAAAAGGAAGAAAGGGATGGATGGATGAAAGGATGGGAGAGAGAGAGAGAAGGAAAGGAGGAAAGGAAGGAAGGAAATAGGGAGAGAGAGGAGGGAGGGAAAAAGGGAAGAAAGAAAGGGATGGATAGGTGAAAGGGAGAGAGAGAGAGAAGGAAAGGAGGAAAGGAAGGAAGGAAAGAAGGAAGGAAGGAAAAAGATCAATTTCAGCTGAACAATGTCCCTCTTTCTCCATCTACTGGCAGACTTGGGGTGGACTAGATGGCCTTTGGGTGCCCCTTCCCACTCTCTTTCCTCCCCTTTCCCCATCTCTAGGGTTCAGAAGAGGGAATGAGGAGCATGAAGGGGGTGTCGTTTACCTTTCGGCGGCGTCAGCGGAGAGGCACCCCCCGTGGCACCATGCGCAGGAGGCGCTGGAGGCGTTGCAGGCCTGGCGCGAGGGGAAGACCAGGCAGGGGTCGGCGGGCAGCGAGAGGGAGAGCATGCGGCCCAGCGCCACCCCGTCAAAGCCCCCCGAGAGGAAGAGGCGGCCCCCCACCGAGGCCACCGCGTGCGCAATGGAGGCCCTCAGCGGCTCCCCCACCACGGCCCCCGCTGCAAGAGAAAAGGGAAGGGGTCATCTCATGGGAAAAAACCAATAGCCAGACAACGAGAGATTGAGAACAACAACCTTCATGAACCCTTTACATCTACTGAATTGGACATGGCTCTCAATAAATGTAAGAATGGCAAAGCAGCTGGCTTGGATGATCTACGGATGGAACAAATCAAGAACTTTGGCCCAAAAGCAAGGCGCTGGCTGCTGGAGCTGATGAACAACTGCACTGCATCCTGTCAGATCCCCAAAATCTGGAGGAAAGCAAGAGTCATCGCCATCTTGAAGCCAGGCAAAGACCGTCATGACCCAAAAAGCTACAGACCAATCTCCCTGTTGTGCCACCTCTACAAAGTTCTGGAGAGACTTATTTTGCATAGAATTATGGAAAAAATAGACCCATGTCTGATTCCACAGCAAGCTGGCTTCAGGAAAGGCAAAAGCTGCACATCGCAAGTGCTGAACCTGACTCAGCACATAGAAGATGGCTTTGAAAGGCAGCAGATCACAGGAGCCGTCTTCATAGACCTGTCCGCAGCCTATGAGACTGTGAACCACCGCTGCCTCCTCCTGAGAAAAATGTAGAATATCACAAAGGACGACCACCTCACCCGCCTCATAGGAAACCTGCTACAAAACAGGAGCTTCTTTGTTGAGTTCCAGGGCCAGAGAAGCAGATGGCGGAAACAGAAGAACGGCCTGCCTCAGGGAGCGTGCTTGCTCCATCCATGTTCAACATCTACACAAATGACCAGCCACTGCCAGAAGGGACAGAGAGTTTCATCTATGCTGATGATCGTGCCATCACTGCTCAAGCAGGGAGCTTTGAGATGGTTGAACAGAAGCTCTCCGAAGCTCTCGGTGCTCTTACTGCCTATTACAGGGAAAACCAGCTGATCCCTAATCCATCTAAAACACAGACATGTGCCTTTCATCTCAAGAACAGACAAGCATCCCGAGCTCTGAGGATTATTACCTGGGAAGGAATCCCACGGGAGCATTGCAGCACACCCAAATACCTGGGAGTCACTCTGGACCGTGCTCTGACCTACAAGAAGCACTGCCTGAACATCAAGCAAAAAGTGGGCGCTAGAAACAATATCATACGAAAGCTGACTGGCACAACCTGGGGATCACAACCAGACACAGTGAAGACATCTGCCCTTGCGCTATGCTACTCTGCTGCTGAGTACGCATGCCCAGTGTGGAACATATCTCACCACACTAAAACAGTGGATGTGGCTCTTAATGAGACATGCCGCATTATCACGGGGTGTCTGCCCTACACCACTGGAGAAATTACACTGCTTAGCCGGTATTGCACCACCTGACATCCGCCGGGAAGTAGCAGCCAATAGTGAAAGGACCAAGGCAGAGACATCTCCAGCTCATCCCCTGTTTGGGTATCAGCCAGCACATCAACGACTTAAATCAAGACATAGTTTTCTTAGATCTACAGAGACACTCGCTGGAACACCTCAGCAAGCGAGAGTCCAAAAGTGGCAGGCTCAAACCCAGCACCTCAATCCATGGCTGATACCAGATGAGAGACTCCCCCCTGGGCACACAGAAGACTGGGCGACTTGGAAGGCACTGAACAGACTGCGCTCAGGCACCACGAGATGCAGAGCCAACCTCAAGAAATGGGGCCACAAAGTGGAATCCTCGACATGCGAGTGCGGAGAAGAGCAAACCACTGACCACCTGCTGCAATGCACCCTGAGCCCTGCCACATGCACAATGGAGGACCTTCTTGCGGCAACACCAGAGGCACTCCAAGTGGCCAGATACTGGTCAAAGGACATTTAACCAACTACCAAATTTGCAAAATCTGTGTGTTTTTTTTTCTTTTTCTTTTTAATCTGTGTGTTTGTTTTGCTCTGTTAGAATTGTAATACAATGGTATGGTTGCTGATGACACGACAAATAAATAAATTCCATTCCTTCGATCTGCATGGACCACCTCCCTCTTGCAAGCCACTAAGCAATGCTTCCAGGTGATCCCTTCTGCACCTGGCTGGCTCTTTGGCTCACCTGTGCTGTTGGGGAGGATCCAGGTGTTGCAGTTCAGCTGGTAGAAGAAGAGGTGGTTGGTGAAGTTCTCGTGCTCCGTGCGCCCTCCGATCACCACCATGGTGTCCTTCAGGACGGCCGCCACGTGGAAAAAGTGCGCCAGGGGCTGAGGAAGAGAATAGGAAAAGGAAGTTTAAAGGCGGAAGAAACACACTTATTGTCAAAAACTTTCGTGGCCAGAATTACTGGGTTGTTGTGAGTTTTTCAGGTTGTCTGGCCCTCTTGCAGTAGCATTCCCTCCTGACGTTTTGCCTGCATCTGAGGCTAATGGCATCTTCAGAGGATCTGGTGGTGGTCGGACATAGAAGTGTGTTTGTGTATATATTTATTTGTGTGTGTGGAGTGAGTGTATATATTGACACCTGTGGAATAGTGTCCAGGGTGTGAGAAAAAACCCTGGTGTGTTTGGAGCGAGTGTGAGTGTTGCAATTAGCAAGCTTGAATAGCATTGTGTAGCCATGAAGCTGCAAAGTCAATCAGTGAGGGGATCTGCATAGAGGTAACCTGGCTTCTGTTTCCTGGAGGCATCCTCTGTGGAATGATGTCCAGGGTGGGAAAACGAACCCTTGTCTGTTTGAAGCAAGTGTGAGCATTGCAATTAGCAAGCTTGAATAGCCTTGAATAGCCTTGAAGTTTGCAAAGTCAATCAGTGAGGGTATCTGCACACAGGTAGTGAAGAAAGTGGTGTGTATATATCCCTGTGGAATAATGTCCAGGGTGGGAGAAAGAATGTTGAATGTTGCAATGAACAAACTTGAATGGCCTTGAGTCGCCATGAAGTTTGCAAAGTCAATCAGGGAGGGTATCTGTGTAGAGGTAGCCTGGCTTCTGTTGCCTGGAGGCATCCTCTGTGGAATGATGTCCAGGGTAGGAGAAAGAACCCTTGTCTGTTTGAAGCAAGTGTGAGCATTGCAATTAGTAAGCCTGAATAGCATTGAGTAGCCTTGCAGCTGCAAAGTCAATCAGTGAAGGTATCTGCATAGAGGTGGCCTGGCCTCTGTTGCCTGAAGGCACCCTCTTCTTGGGAGTTGTTCATTGATAATTTATTTTCAATGAGGAAATGACAATGATAACCCAGGAACAAACCTTCCTTACCTTTGGGCCTTGCGACGGAGCCAGCAAACTCCACGTCAAGTTGGGGTAGTAAAGGCTGTAGAGCTCGGCGGAGGCGGAAACCATCTCAACATGAAAGCGGTGGCCACCAAAGACGTATATGGCATCCGTGCCCTCGTGGTAAACGGCCGAGTGTCCATACAACCCTGGAAAGAGAGGGAAACATGCATATACCTTATTGATTTGAATCTCATGCTCACCTTTATGGGATAAATGACTTGACCAAAATTGGGGCGTGCATTAAATTTGCCTCATAAGATTATCTTAGTGCTGAGCCAAAGGGGAAGCTGCTTCAGGAGCTGCACCTCTTTGAGGAAAGTAAGGTTGCTTACCTGTAACCATGTTTCTTCGAGTGGTCAACTGTGAAATTCACACCTGTGGTATTTCCTGCGTCCACGCAGCTGATTCGGATCCTTATTGAAAAGCTTTTGCCAAATCAGGGACTCCAGCCCCGCCCATCCACTCCAGTAATAAAGCCAGGCAGCGGGGCTTGAGGCCTTAGTTCCGTACCGCGAAAGACAGTCGGAGATAGAAGGCATGACGGAGTGCGGAGGATGGACGGGTTGTGTGAATTTCACAGTTGACCACTCGAAGAAACATGGTTACAGGTAAGCAACCTTACTTTCTTCAGCGTGGTCACTGTGAAATCCACACCTGTGGTAGACTAGCGAGCAGTCCCATGGATGGTGGGCGTCATGTAGTCAAACTGGAGTCCTTGAGTCAACCAATAGTTGTTTTAGGAGAGAACACCGAGTTGTTGCTGCTTTCGCGGACAAAAGGAACTAAGGCCTCAAGCCCCGCTGCCTGGCTTTATTACTGGAGTGGATGGGCGGGGCTGGAGTCCCTGATTTGGCAAAAGCTTTTCAATAAGGATCCGAATCAGCTGCGTGGACGCAGGAAATACCACAGGTGTGGATTTCACAGTGACCACGCTGAAGAAACACATCTCTCATTGAATTGCATTGTCTCAATGCTCTTGTATAAATGACCTCTGCAAAATTTAGGTGCACACTATATCCATGCAATACGGTAATCTCAGTGCTGAGCCAAAGCCATAGAGGAAGCTGGTTCTGGAGCTGCTCCTCTTTGAGGGACCTCATCCCTCATTGAAAAAGCAAAGCACTACCACCCTCTAGTTTGGCGTTAGGAATTCTGGGAGTTGCAGTCCAAAATACCTGGAGGGAGGGCCGAAGTTTGCCCATGCCTAGTCTATCATGTGACTTGGAGTGAGGCCTACCCACACCCCAACATCACCATCATCACCTGCTGACCCTAACCCTTCTGCTCACCGGTGGGGGGAGTCCCAGCCTGGTTCCCAGAACGCCACCCCTCCGACTGGACGTCATACTCGAGGAGCTTCTTGTTGAAGCCATTCTCCGGAGAATATCCTCCGATGAGCAGCAGGGAGGAGCCGCGCCGTGCCGTCAGCGTGTGTCCGGCCACGGCCGGAATGGACGGATCCTAGAACGAACCAAAAGAGGATTTAACGAGCAGCGGGGTTTAACGATGATGCGATGCGATGCCCCGCCAACTTTGCAACAGACCCAAAATGTACCTGACTTCAAATGCAAAAACAAAGATCTGATATCATAGATTTGGCGGGGATCTCCAAAGGCCACCCAATCTAGCCCCGTTCTTAACGGAGAGTTGTTTGCACGTCGAACATTTGTAAGTTGGGGATGGCCTGTATAATATGTGTGTGTGTATATATGTGTGTGTGTGTGATATATATATCAGATAAATATAGTATCATAGATTTATCTGGGACCCCCAAAGGCCATCCAGTCCAGCCCCGTTCTTAACTGTGAGTCATTTGCAAACTGGATGTTTGTAACCCGGGGATGGCTTGTATATATGTGTGTGTGTGCGTATATGTATGTGTGTGTGTGTGTGTGTGTGTGTGATATATATATGTATATGAATGCCAGATGTAGTGTCATAGCTTTTGCAGGGTCCCCCGAAGGTCATCCAGTCCAGCCCCATTCTTAATTGTGAGTCGTTTGAAAGCCAGACATCTGTAACTTGGGGATGGTCTGTATATGTGTGTGTATATAGATACATAGATAGATAGATTTATATATATATATAATAGATATAGTATCATAGACTTGGAAGGGACCCCCAAAGGCCATCCAGTCCAGCTCCGTGCGTGTGTATGTATGTATGTATGTATATATATATGTGTGTGTGTGTGTGTATATATATATATGAATGACAGATATACTGTCACAGATTTGGCAGGGACTCCCAAAGGCCATCCAGTCCATCCCCATTCTTAACCGTGAGTCATTTGCAAGTTGGACATTTGTAACCCAGGGACAACCTGTATACGTGTGTGTGTCCATATATATATGAATGACACATATAGTGGTCACAGATTTGGCTGGGACCCCAAAGGCCATCCAGTCCAGACCCATTCTTAACTGTGAGTTGTTGGCAAATCAACGTTTGTAACTCGGGGAAGGCTTAGTGTATATGTATATATGTGCGTGTGTATATATATCAATATCTATACAGATATAGATATATAGATACATAGAGATATGCTATCATAGATGTGGCAGGGCCCCCAAAGGCCATCCAGTCTAGACCTGTTCATTGTGAATCATTTGCAAGTGGGATTTTTGTAACTTGGGGACAGTCTATGTTGTCCATGAGACGAGAGTGCCATCCTCACCTGCATGAGCCTCCATTGCAGGGTGGTGAGGTTGAGCAGCCAAAAGTCACTGGCCACTCCGTCAGCGGTCAGTCCCCCAAGGAGGTACATGGCTTTGGCAGAGGGGATGTAAGCAGCTGCGTGGAAGTATCTGGGGTTGGGGCCTGGGCCGCGGTCCTCCGTTCCGGCCAGCATCTGTGTCCAGCGGCGCTCAGCTATGGAGTACCTGTGGGGAGAGAGAGGGGGAAGTGGGTGGTCAACGGCTCAATCATGGGGTCAACATAACACAACATAAACTGGCACTAAATTATTTACTTAGCAAAGAAGGCGGATTGTGTGTACGGTTAAACACCACTTGCTGTCACTATGTTAATAAAACAGGAGAGATACAAACAGACGTTAAAAAATTACACCAGATTGTTGAGACCATGAGAGATTCACATTCCCTCAGTGATGGTAGTTGGTATAGTTGATTGACCTCATGGTTGCCAGATTTTGGCTGGCTAAAGTCATTATTTGTTGGGTTTTTATCCGCGGGTCTTTTGCTTTTGTGTTTATTAATTTGTGTGCCTTGTATCTTATCTATATGCAAGAGTGTTGTTTCATGTGCAGCCAAGAGAAAGAATAATGAATAGTTCACAAAGACCCGAATGCTTGAGAGGCCGTTGAGCAATATGAGACAATATTGCTAAGATGGACAAAGGAATACAAACCACCACCACAACACCTCCTTCTACGCCATCAACTGTAAAAAGAAACTACAAAGTTAATGATATATGATGATATTATTTTGTAATTGAGTTTGCTACACTTCTATATCCATCGCTTGCAAAAAGGGGGGAATGTGAAGATGGCTGCTCTCTGTAAGAAAATGTTTGACCCCTTACCCAGAATCTTTCCCCTGAAATTGTTGACAAAGCTTTCCTGCTTGACATTTGTTTAACATAGCTGACTGGACAAAACCACAAGGATAGGTTGTGCAAATAACTGAACCCATTGAGATAGCTCATGCAAACAGCTATGGCATTGGCTTACTAGATAGTATTTACACAATGCAAACTATAAACGTTTTACCTGATTTAACGATTAAAGTTGGAGGCAACTGCACACATCTGAGGATTGCATTTTGTCAGTAAGATTCCATTGCTAATTAGTAGGCATGGATAGAGTCGCGTTGGATAACTCATTGCTCGTAATAATTTAGTAAAAATTACCTTTTTGAAGCGATATCAAATCTTGTAAAAAAACGGAAGTCCCTTTGCCCTTCCGAAGCTTTTTCCGCCATTTTTGTTACAACTCTGAAATGATTCAGCTTTTCCCTATTTCTGGTCTCTGGCCTCGGCTCATGCCAGGGAAGCCAGTTTTAAACCAGAGAAGAAAGGAATTTCCTGGCCTCAGCTCAAGCCGGAGAAGCCAGTTTTGAACCAGAGAAGGAAGGAATTTCCTGGCCTCGTCTCAAGCCAGAGAAGCCAGTTTTAAAGCCAGAGAAATCAGTTTTAAACCAGAGAACAAAGGAATTTCCTGGCCTCGGCTCAAGCCAGAGAAGCCAGTTTTAAACCAGAGAAGGAAGGAATTTCCTGGCCTTCTCAAGCCAGAGAAGCCAGTTTTAAACCAGAGAAGGAAGGAATTTCCTGGCCTCGGCTCACGCCAGAGAAGCCAGTTTTAAACCAGAGAAGGAAGGAATTTCCTGGCCTCGGCTCAAGCCAGAGAAGCCAGTTTTAAACCAGAGAAGGAAGGAATTTCCTGGCCTCAGCTCAAGCCAGAGAAGCCAGTTTTAAACCAGAGAAGGAAGGAATTTCCTGGCCTCAGCTCAAGCCAGAGAAGCCAGTTTTAAACCAGAGAAGGAAGGAATTTCCTGGCCTCGGCTCAAGCCAGAGAAGCCAGTTTTAAACCAGAGAAGAAAGGAATTTCCTGGCCTCGGCTCAAGCCAGAGAAGCCAGTTTTAAACCAGAGAAGAAAGGAATTTCCTGGCTTCGGCTCAAGCCAGAGAAGCCAGTTTTAAACCAGAAAAGGTAGGAATTTCCTGGCTTCGGCTCAAGCCAGAGAAGCCAGTTTTAAACCAGAGAAGGAAGGAATTTCCTGGCCTTGGCTCAAGCCAGAGAAGCTAGTTTTAAACCAGAGAGGGAAGGAATTTCCTGGCCTCGGTTCAAGCCAGAGAAGCCAGTTTTAAACCAGAGAAGGAAGGAATTTCCTGGCCTCGGCTCAAGCCAGAGAAGCCAGTTTTAAACCAGAGAAGGAAGGAATTTCCTGGCCTTGGCTCAAGCCAGAGAAGCCAGTTTTAAACCAGAGAAGGAAGGAATTTCCTGGCCTTGGCTCAAGCCAGAGAAGCCAGTTTTAAACCAGAGAAGGAAGGAATTTCCTGGCCTTGGCTCAAGCCAGAGAAGCCAGTTTTAAACCAGAGAAGGAAGGAATTTCCTGGCCTTGGCTCAAGCCAGAGAAGCCAGTTTTAAACCAGAGAAGGAAGGAATTTCCTGGCCTCAGCAAAAGCCAGTGAAGCCAGTTTTAAACCAGAGAAGGAAGGAATTTCCTACCCTCGGTTCAAGCCAGAGAAGCCAGTTTTAAACCAGAGAAGGAAGGAATTTCCTGGCCTCGTCTCAAGCCAGAGAAGCCAGTTTTAAACCAGAGAAGGAAGGAATTTCCTGGCCTTGGCTCAAGCCAGAGAAGCCAGTTTTAAACCAGAGAAGGAAGGAATTTCCTGGCCTGGGCTCAAGCCAGAGAAGCCAGTTTTAAACCAGAGAAGGAAGGAATTTCCTGGCCTGGGCTCAAGCCAGAGAAGCCAGTTTTAAACCAGAGAAGGAAGGAATTTCCTGGCCTCGGCTCAAGCCAGAGAAGCCAGTTTTAAACCAGAGAAGGAAGGAATTTCCTGGCCTCAGCTCAAGCCAGAGAAGCCAGTTTTAAACCAGAGAAGGAAGAATTTCCTGACCTCGGCTCAAGCCAGAGAAGCCAGTTTTAAACCAGAGAAGGAAGAAATTTCCTGGCCTCGCCTCAAGCCAGAGAAGCCAGTTTTAAACCAGAGAAGGAAGAAATTTCCTGGCCTCGGCTCAAGCCAGAGAAGCCAGTTTTAAACCAGAGAAGGAGGAATTTCCTGGCCTCTCCTTAAGCCAGAGAAGCCAGTTTTAAAGCCAGAGAAGCCAGTTTTAAACCAGAGAAGGAAGGAATTTTCTGGCCCCGGCTCAAGCCAGTGAAGCCGGTTTTAAACCAGAGAAGAAAGGAATTTCCTGTCCTCAGCAAAAGCCAGAGAAGCCAGTTTTAAACCAGAGAAGAAAGGAATTTCCTGGCCTCGGCTCAAGCCAGAGAAGCCAGTTTTAAACCAGAGAACGGAGGAATTTCCTGGCCTCTCCTTAAGCCAGAGAAGCCAGTTTTAAAGCCAGAGAAGCCAGTTTTAAACCAGAAAAGGAAGGAATTTCCTCTGCTTGCTTTTCCCCGCTTCTGGAGTTAAAGAACTACTTTCAAAGTAAAGACCACCCAATGAAACAGGAAACAACACTTTCAAACCATTAATGAAAGGATTCGGAAGTCTTGGAAGTTTCTAAAAGTTTTGAAAAAAATCTTTCTGTGAAAATTGGAATTGACTTTAGAATCAAACCACCAGCGCACCTACATCCTATATAGGTTTTAACCATTTTTTTTTTATCAACCAAGCCTACTATCTATCTATTAGGCCCCCTTGGCGCAGTGGGTTAAAGCACTGAGCTGCTGAGCTTGTTGATCGAAAGGTCGCAGGTTCGATTCCGGGGAGCGGCGTGAGCTTCCGCTGTCAGCCCTAGCTTCTGCCAACCTACCAGTTCGAAAACATGCAAATGTGAGTAGATCAATAGGTACCGCTCCGGCGGGAAGGTAACGGCGCTCCATGCAGTCATGCCGGCCACATGACCTTGGAGGTGTCTACGGACAACGCTGGCTCTTCAGCTTAGAAATGGAGATGAGCACCAACCCCCAGAGTCAGACATGACTGGACTTAATGTCAGGGGACTACCTTTACCTTTACCTTTACAGGCTTGTAAAATGCTATAATTGGAAGCCCACCCCAATTGGGGGTGTAGCGGTTCTTTATTCAGCATGAGCTGACACTGTCACCACTATTTTGCAAATAGTAAAGTGCTGAAATCCAAATCTGCTGTTCGTCTTGTCCTTCGGCCAAGTCCAAACGAACTTGACAGGGAGATTTCCCCAACAAGGGGTCAGCGTGCCATCCGTGGGACCAGCCTTCTCTAACCCTTGGCATGCCTAGGAGTGGAAAACGTGTGCTGTTTTGCACTGGAAGAGTCCATACCTGTAGACGTTGCCCAGCATGCCCTCCCGCAAGGACATGCCCCCAAACATCCAGAGCGTGCCGTCCGGACCCTCCACCATCGTATGGCCCAAGCGGTGCAGGAAGCGGCTGGCCGTGTCCTGGGGAAGGGAGGGAAAGGACTCAAACCAGAGTTTACCGGGAGGAAAGGAGCCCAGTTAGGTGGCCAAAGTCCCTCCGAAACCCTCCCCAGGACCCCAAAGGGTAGTCAGGACACTGAATCGTCCAGCCGGGCGTGTGTGGACACTTACTGCGGTCAGTTGGGTGTCAATCAGGGTCTCCCAGACAATCTTCCTGGCGTCCAGAGGGATGGAGCAGTCCACTCCGGCAAAGGGTTCATTGCAGACACAGAGGCCGAGGCTCTGGAGAGGAAGGGGAACTATTATTATTGTTGTTGTTGTTATTATTTGCAGGCACTTGTATCTTACTTACTTAGTTTACTTACTTACTTACTAAGCTGACTTATGGATCACTGGTTGTAGACTTACGCAATAAAACAATACAGCTATATAACTGTAAAAGTTAAAAACTCTAAAATAATAAAATGCTGTCATAAGAAAGAACTCACACTCTGAGCAGCAATTAGTGATAAAGCAAACAAACAAATTACAGAGGCTCTGATGGTCTGTTGGCACCTCCACCATTTTGAGATTACTAATTCCTAATTATGTTTTCCTTTTTAATCTGTGACTCCCCCCCCCCCTTGTATATGCCTGTGTTGTGATTTTGTTGTTGTATGCCTTATCACCCTCAAAACATAATCTATATATATAAAAATGTAATGCTTGTTTGTGGGATTAACAGAACTCAAAAACCACTGGGAATTGACAAAATTTGGACACAATACACCTCTCAGGCCAAGAAATGACCATCACTCAGAAAAACACTAAAAAACACAGCGGAAGAGACTTTAAAAACAAAAACAAAAAATACAAAAAAGCAAAAAGATGCTACAGCGCATGTACAAAAACGACTCCCTTGGCAAACAAAACACGCAATGGCATATCAACACTTTCTTCCAGACTACAGCTCCCAGCATCCTGTAGAGGGGGATGATCCAAATGCACTGCTTCCAAGCTGCAAGCTTTCTTCTCCTTGGATTTCTTTGAGAGCATCCCAATCCCTGCATATTTCCAATTTCCTATTCCTTGACTGCAACTCCCAGCAATCTTCCAGATAGAGAGATTAGATAGAGATAGGTAGGTAGGTAGGTAGATAATCAGGAGGACTGCTGGGAGTTGCAGTCCAAGAATAGGTAGAGAAGAAAGAAAGGAGAGAAAGAGGAAGGGAAAGAAAAGGGAGGGAAGTAACAGAAGAGGAAGAGAAGGAAGGAAGGAGAGAATGAAAGAAAAAAAGGGAAGGAGAGAAAGAAAGAAGAGAAAGGAGAGAAAGAGGAAGGGAAAGAAAAGGGAGGGAAGTAACAGAAGAGGAAGAGAAGGAAGGAAGGAAGGAAGGAAGGAAGGAAGGAAGGAAGGAAGGAAGGAAAGGAAGGAAGAAAGAAAGAAAGAAAGAAAGAAAGAGGAAGGGAAGAAAGGGAGGAAGAAAGGAAAAGGAAGGAAGGAAGGAAGGAAGGAAGGAAGGAAGGAAGGAAGGAAGGAAGGAGAGAATGAAAGAAAAAAGGGAAGGAGAGAAAGAAAGAAGAGAAAGGAGAGAAAGAGGAAGGGAAAGAAAAGGGAGGGAAGTAACAGAAGAAGAAAAGAAGGAAGGAAGGAAGGAAGGAAGGAAGGAAGGAAGGAAGGAAGGAGAGAATGAAAGAAAAAAGGGAAGGAGAGAAAGAAAGAAGAGAAAGGAGAGAAAGAGGAAGGGAAAGAAAAGGGAAGAGAAGGAAGGAAGGAGAGAATGAAAGAAAAAAAGGGAAGGAGAGAAAGAAAGAAGAGAAAGGAGAGAAAGAGGAAGGCTGGCCACAGCAACGCATGGCTGGTACAGTTAGTAGTAGTAGTAGTCATAATAATAATAATAATGTTAGTACCCAGTTTGGGCTGTAAAGAAAGACTACACAATTGTTTCTGAATGGTCTATTTTTATTGATACCACTTTCTTTTCCCAGCCTGCCAGGTTCCAAAAAATTATTTCCAGCCCTGTTTGCTTTGTATTTAATCGGCTGTCGCTTACAGAAAGTGAATTAGAAGGTTTTTAAGGTCAATTCAGGGGCTGCTGTGGTTTTTAACTTTGAATATGTGTTAATGGTTTTTAACTGGGAAACTGCTAATGCTGTTTATATTTAATTCTGTTTCAGTGCTTCGGGAGACTCCTTTGGCTTTTTTTGCCGCCACATCCCATTCCTGGCTCATGTTCCCCTTCCTCCCCACGAGGACTCCAAGATCTTTTTCACACGTACTGCTCTCCAGCCAGGCCTCATCGTCCCCCATTTTGTCTCTTTGCATTTCGTTTTTTCTGCCAAAGTGGAGTATCTTGCATTTGTCACTGTTGAACTTCATTTTGTTAGTTTTGGCTCATCTCTCTAATCTGTCAAGATCGTTTTGAATCCTGCTCCTGTCCTCTGGAGTCTTGGCTATTCCTCCCAACATGGAGCACAACACCCCCTTTGCAACAAGCATGTAGAGCGGACCCTTGCTCACCCGGTTGCAAGTCCCTTGCCCGGCGTGGGCGGTGCAGTTCCCCGGGCAGGTCTGTTCCTGGCAGCTGGGCCCCGAATAGCTGGCCCGGCAGAGGCAGCGTCCCTCGCGGCACTCCTGGTTGGGCTGGCAGCTGGGCCGGCAGTGGTGCACCGTGAAGGTGGCGTTGAAGCCCGAGGCCTCGCTCGAGTTGGCCTCGTAGTAGATGACCAGCAACCCTGCAGAGGACAACCAGCAGACTTCTCTCCATCAAGCGGAATGGGTGCTGCACACAGCTCCTCTGGCCCTTCTTCTCCATTCCCTGTATCACCCTCAAAATACAGTAGTAGTAGTAGTAGTAGTAGTAGTAGTAATAATAATCCACTCCAACTCATCCCTAGCCTTGAAATCATAAGATCATGAAATCACTGAAGTTGGAAGGGACTCCCAAAGGTCATCCACTCCATCCTTTCCTCTCGATTCCCCATATCACCCTCGAAACATAGTAACAACAACAACAACCCACTCCAACTAGTCTCTAGCCTTGAAGTCACAGAACTTGGAAGGGGCCCCCCCAAGGCCATCCAGTCCATCCCTTCTTCTCCATTCCCCGTATCACCCTCGAAACATAGTGTCAGTTCTAATAAGGAAACTGAGAAGAGGGGGAAATGGGCAGGAAAGGTGTATAAAAGGAAGTGGTGGTGGGGAAAAGTCAGTCGTGTCTTTCTTTGCTGCAGAGAGACAAGCAATATATCCATTTCAAAGCAAAAACAGCTTGTGAGTGATCATTTAATACTGCTGTATACAACCTACAGTCTTACACATAGTAACAACAACAACAACCCACTCCAACTTGTCTCTAGCCTTGAAGTCACAGAACTTGGAAGAGGGCCCCCAAAGGCCATCCAGTCCATCCTTTCTTCTCCATTCCCCGTATCACCCTCAAAACATAGTAACAACAACAACAACCCACTCCAACTTGTTCTAGCCTTGAAGTCACAGAACTTGGAAGAGGCCCCCCAAAGGCCATCCAGTTCATCCCTTCTTCTCCAGTCCCGTATCGCCCTCGAAACATAGTAATAATAGCAACAACAACAACAACAACCCACTCCATCTTGTCCCTAGCCTTGAAATCATAGAAGTTGGCCAAAGGCACAAATCCATCCCTTCTTCTCCATCACCCTCAAAACAACAACAACAACCAACCCACTCCAACTTGTCTCTAGCCTTGAAATCATAGAAGTTGAAGATACCCCCAAGGCCATTCAGTTCATCCCTTCTTCTCCATTTCCCGTATCGCCCTCAAAACATAGTAACAACAACAACAACAACAACAACAACAACAACCCAGTCCATCTTGTCTCTAGCGTAGAAGTCACAGAAGTTGGAAGAGACCCCCAAAGACCATCCAGTCCATCCATCCAGTCCATCCTTTCTTCTCCATTCCCCGTAACACCCTCGAAACATAGTAATAACAACAACAACAACAACAACAACAACAACCCACTCCAACTTGTCTCTAGCCTTGAAATAATAGAAATTGGAAGGGACTCCCCAAAAACCATCCAGTTCATCCCTTCTTCTCTATTCCTGTATCACCCTCAAAACATAGTAACAACAACAAAAACAACAACAACAACAACCCACTCCAACTTGTTCTAGCCTTGAAGTCACAGAACTTGGAAGAGACCCCCAAAGGCCATCCAGTCCATCCCTTCTTCTCCATTCCCCGTATTACCCTCGAAACATAGTAATAACAACAACAAGAACAAGAACAACAACAACAACAACCCACTCCAACTTGTCTCTAGCCTTGAAATAATAGAAATTGGAAGGGACTCCCCAAAAACCATCCAGTTCATCCCTTCTTCTCTATTCCTGTATCACCCTCAAAACATAGTAACAACAACAAAAACAACAACAACAACAACCCACTCCAACTTGTTCTAGCCTTGAAGTCACAGAACTTGGAAGAGACCCCCAAAGGCCATCCAGTCCATCCCTTCTTCTCCATTCCCCGTATTACCCTCGAAACACAGTAACAACAACAACAACTCACTCCAACTTGTCTCTAGCCTTGAAATCATAGCAGTTGGAAGGGATCCCCAAGAGTCATCTAGTCCATCCCTTTGGCCATCCAGTCATAGAGCTATATAATCATAGTATCATACAGCTGAAGGAGAACCCAAAGGCCATCCAGTCTGACCTCCTTCCGCCTGGCAGGAAGGCACAATCTAAGCATTCCTGACAGATGGCCATGTAGTCACTGCTTAACAACATATAGACATGATATGTTTCCTGGCTTTGTTGGGAGAATCATCAAACCCTAGAGCTGGAAGGGAATCCCACAGGCCATCCATTCCAACCCCTTTCTGCCTACCATAAAGGAAGACACAATCCCTCCCGACAGATGGACACCCAAGTCGTGCTCCTGATGGCTTGGTCCTACCTGAGATGGCCTCCACGGTGGCTGGCCGGTCCTGGCCTTGTCCGCAGAAGGCCCCGATCAGTGTCCGGTCCAGCTGGATCAGCCCCGTGTCCAAGAAGTCCGGCAGGCCATCAAAGACGTAGACATAGTTGCTCTAAGCAGGAAGCAAAGGGGGAAAGTCTTTGAAGCAAGGACACAATAATAATAATAATAATAATAATAATAATAATAATAATAATAACAACAACAACAATAACAACAACACCTTGAGATGCTTTGGGTCCCCACAAGGAGAAAGGCAGGGTATAAATAAAGTTAATAATAATAATAATATCATGAGGCACCTTGAGTTCCCCATAATAATAATAATATATTATGAGCTGCCTTGAGTCCCCAAAGGGAGAAAGGTGGGATAATAATAATAATAATAGTAATAATAATAATATATTATGAGCTGCCTTGAGTCCCCAAAGGGAGAAAGGTGGATAATAATAATAATAATATAATAATAATAATATATTACGAGCTGCCTTGAGTCCCCAAAGGGAGAAAGGTGGAATAATAATAATAATAATAATAATAATAATAATATAATATATTACGAGCTGCCTTGAGTCCCCAAAGGGAGAAAGGTGGGATAATAATAATAATAATAATAATAATAATATATTATGAGCTGCCTTGAGTCCCCAAAGGGAGAAAGGTGGGATAATAATAATAATAATAATAATAATAATATATTATGAGCTGCCTTGAGTCCCCAAAGGGAGAAAGATGGAATAATAATAATAATAATAATAATATATTATGAGCTGCCTTGAGTCCCCAAAGGGAGAAAGATGGAATAATAATAATAAATAATAATAATAATATATTACGAGCTGCCTTGAGTCCCCAAAGGGAGAAAGGTGGAATAATAATAATAATAATAATAATAATAATAATATATTATTATTATTATTATTATTATTATTATTATTATTATTATGAGCTGCCTTGAGTCCCCAAAGGGAGAAAGGTGGGATAATAATAATAATAATAATAATAATAATAATAATAATGTATTATGACCTGCCTGCCCTGAGTCCCCAAAGGGAGAAAGGTGGAATAATAATAATAATAATAAATTACGAGCTGCCTTGAGTCCCCAAAGGGAGAAAGGTGGGATAATAATAATTATAATAATAATAATAATAATATATTACAAGCTGCCTTGAGTCCCCAAAGGGAGAAAGGTGGAATAATAATAATAATAATATAATATTGTGAGCTGCCTTGAGTTCCCAAAGGGGGAAAGGTGGGATAATTAATAATAATAATAATAATAATAATAATAATAATAATATATTACGAGCTGCCTTGAGTCCCCAAAGGGAGAAAGGTGGGATAATAATAATAATAATAATAATAATAATAATAATATATTACGAGCTGCCTTGAGTCCCAAGGGGGAAAGGTGGGATAATTAATAATAATAATAATAATAATAATAATAATAATAATATATTATGAGCTGCCTTGAGTCCCCAAAGGGACAAAGGTGGAATAATAATAATAACAATATCATTATTATTATTATTATTATGAGCTGCCTTGAGTCCCCAAAGGGACAAAGGTGGAATAATAATAAGAACAATATCATTATTATTATTATTATTATTATTATTATTATGAGCTGCCTTGAGTCCCCAAAGGGACAAAGGTGGAATAATAATAAGAACAATATCATTATTATTATTATTATTATTATTATTATTACTATTATGAGCTGCCTTGAGTCCCCAAAGGGACAAAGGTGGAATAATAATAATAACAATATCATTATTATTATTATTATTATTATTATTATTACTATTATGAGCTGCCTTGAGTCCCCAAAGGGACAAAGGTGGAATAATAATAATAACAATATCATTATTATTATTATTATTATTATTATTATTATTATTATTATTATGAGCTGCCTTGAGTCCCCAAAGGGACAAAGGTGGAATAATAATAAGAACAATATCATTATTATTATTATTATTATTATTATTACTATTATGAGCTGCCTTGAGTCCCCAAAGGGACAAAGGTGGAATAATAATAATAACAATATCATTATTATTATTATTATTATTATTATTATTATTATTATTATTATTATTATTACTATTATGAGCTGCCTTGAGTCCCCAAAGGGACAAAGGTGGAATAATAATAAGAACAATATCATTATTATTATTATTATTATTATTATTATTATTACTATTATGAGCTGCCTTGAGTCCCCAAAGGGACAAAGGTGGAATAATAATAATAACAATATCATTATTATTATTATTATTATTATTATTATTATTATTATTATTATGAGCTGCCTTGAGTCCCCAAAGGGACAAAGGTGGAATAATAATAAGAACAATATCATTATTATTATTATTATTATTATTATTATTACTATTATGAGCTGCCTTGAGTCCCCAAAGGGACAAAGGTGGAATAATAATAAGAACAATATCATTATTATTATTATTATTATTATTATTATTATTATTATTATGAGCTGCCTTGAGTCCCCAAAGGGACAAAGGTGGAATAATAATAAGAACAATATCATTATTATTATTATTATTATTATTATTATTACTATTATGAGCTGCCTTGAGTCCCCAAAGGGACAAAGGTGGAATAATAATAAGAACAATATCATTATTATTATTATTATTATTATTATTACTATTATGAGCTGCCTTGAGTCCCCAAAGGGACAAAGGTGGAATAATAATAAGAACAATATCATTATTATTATTATTATTATTATTATTATTATTACTATTATGAGCTGCCTTGAGTCCCCAAAGGGACAAAGGTGGAATAATAATAAGAACAATATCATTATTATTATTATTATTATTATTATTATTATTATTATTATGAGCTGCCTTGAGTCCCCAAAGGGACAAAGGTGGAATAATAATAAGAACAATATCATTATTATTATTATTATTATTATTATTATTATTATTATTATGAGCTGCCTTGAGTCCCCAAAGGGACAAAGGTGGAATAATAATAAGAACAATATCATTATTATTATTATTATTATTATTATTATTATTATTATTACTATTATGAGCTGCCTTGAGTCCCCAAAGGGACAAAGGTGGAATAATAATAAGAACAATATCATTATTATTATTATTATTATTATTATTATTATTATTATTACTATTATGAGCTGCCTTGAGTCCCCAAAGGGACAAAGGTGGAATAATAATAATAACAATATCATTATTATTATTATTATTATTATTATTATGAGCTGCCTTGAGTCCCCAAAGGGAGAAAGGTGGGATAATAACAATATCATTATTATTATTATTATTATTATTATTATTATTATTATGAGCTGCCTTGAGTCCCCAAAGGGACAAAGGTGGAATAATAATAATAACAATATCATTATTATTATTATTATTATTATTATTATTATTATTATTATTATGAGCTGCCTTGAGTCCCCAAAGGGACAAAGGTGGGATAATAATAATAATAACAATAATAATAATAATAATAATAATATATTATGAGCTGCCTTGAGTCCCCATAGGGAGAAAGATGGAATAACAATCACAACCACAACCACAACCACAACCAAAACAACAACAATAATAATAATAATAATATTGTGAGCTGCCTTGAGTCCCCATAGGGATAAGACGAGATATAAATGGTTAATAATAATAATAATAATAATAATAATAATAACATTTTCTGCATGCAGCTAACTAGCCCAGAGTCTCCCGCCTTGTGCCTGTCTTCCGCCCCCTGCAAAGTCCCCCCAGTTCTCCTGGGTTGCGTGTTGGGTTTCACCGTGCAGAGCGTGTCCGGTCGGATGGCGAGGGCGATGGTGGGGCAGGGCTGGTCAGCGGGGCAGGGGCGCATCCCGTCCCCGGCGGAGAGGACCCAGACACAGTAGGAGAGCGACCCCGGCCCAGGCGGGCCCCCCGCCCGTTGGGAGCTCAGCGAGGAAGGCAACGAGGAGGAGGAGGAGGAAGAAGAGAGGTTGGCCAGCAAGGAGCGTCCCTGGCACTGCTGGTAGCACACCCCGCCGTCCCTGCGGAAGAAGAGGAGAAAAGGAAGAATGCAGGAGGAGGGCACGGAGGCAAGGCGCCTTCTGCACCAGACGGAGGAGGGAGGCACTCCATCCACTGGTCAAGGGCTACGGCCAGGAAAGGAGGAGGAAGAAGAGAAGAGGAGAAGAAAGGCAAGAGGAAGAAGGAGGAGGAGAAGGGTAGGAAGAGGAAGAGGAGGAGAAGGTAAGAAGAGGAAGAGGAAGGGAATACAAAGAAGAAAAAGAAGAGGTAGAAGGAAAAGAAGAGGAGGAGGAAGAGAAAAAGAAGAGGAAGAAGGAGGAGAAGGATAGGAAGAGGAAGAGGAGAAACAGAAGAGGAGGAAGTAGAAGGAAGAGGAAGGGAATACAAACAAGAAAAAGAAGAGGAAGAAGGAAAAGAAGAGGAGGAGGAGGAGAAAAAGAAGAGGAAGAAGAGGAAGAAGGAGGAGAAGGATAGGAAGAGGAAGAGGAGAAACAGAAGAGGAGGAAGTAGAAGGAAGAGGAAGGGAATACAAACAAGAAAAAGAAGAGGAAGAAGGAAAAGAAGAGGAGGAGGAGGAGAAAAAGAAGAGGAAGAAGAGGAAGAAGGAGGAGAAGGATAGGAAGAGGAAGAGGAGAAACAGAAGAGGAGGAAGTAGAAGGAAGAGGAAGGGAATACAAACAAGAAAAAGAAGAGGAAGAAGGAAAAGAAGGATAGGAAGAGGAGAAACAGAAGAGGAGGAAGTAGAAGGAAGAGGAAGGGAATACAAAGAAGAAAAAGAAGAGGTAGAAGGAAAAGAAGAGGAGGAGGAAGAGAAAAAGAAGAGGAAGAAGGAGGAGAAGGATAGGAAGAGGAAGAGGAGAAACAGAAGAGGAGGAAGTAGAAGGAAGAGGAAGGGAATACAAACAAGAAAAAGAAGAGGAAGAAGGAAAAGAAGAGGAGGAGGAGGAGAAAAAGAAGAGGAAGAAGAGGAAGAAGGAGGAGAAGGATAGGAAGAGGAAGAGGAGAAACAGAAGAGGAGGAAGTAGAAGGAAGAGGAAGGGAATACAAACAAGAAAAAGAAGAGGAAGAAGGAAAAGAAGAGGAGGAGGAGGAGAAAAAGAAGAGGAAGAAGAGGAAGAAGGAGGAGAAGGATAGGAAGAGGAAGAGGAGAAACAGAAGAGGAGGAAGTAGAAGGAAGAGGAAGGGAATACAAACAAGAAAAAGAAGAGGAAGAAGGAAAAGAAGAGGAAGAGGAGAAACAGAAGAGGAGGAAGTAGAAGGAAGAGGAAGGGAATACAAAGAAGAAAAAGAAGAGGTAGAAGGAAAAGAAGAGGAGGAGGAAGAGAAAAAGAAGAGGAAGAAGGAGGAGAAGGATAGGAAGAGGAAGAGGAGAAACAGAAGAGGAGGAAGTAGAAGGAAGAGGAAGGGAATACAAACAAGAAAAAGAAGAGGAAGAAGGAAAAGAAGAGGAGGAGGAGGAGAAAAAGAAGAGGAAGAAGAGGAAGAAGGAGGAGAAGGATAGGAAGAGGAAGAGGAGAAACAGAAGAGGAGGAAGTAGAAGGAAGAGGAAGGGAATACAAACAAGAAAAAGAAGAGGAAGAAGGAAAAGAAGAGGAGGAGGAGCTTGAGAGGGAAGAAGAGGAAGAAGAGGAAGAAGGAGGAGAAGGATAGGAAGAGGAAGAGGAGAAACAGAAGAGGAGGAAGTAGAAGGAAGAGGAAGGGAATACAAACAAGAAAAAGAAGAGGAAGAAGGAAAAGAAGGATAGGAAGAGGAGAAACAGAAGAGGAGGAAGTAGAAGGAAGAGGAAGGGAATACAAAGAAGAAAAAGAAGAGGTAGAAGGAAAAGAAGAGGAGGAGGAAGAGAAAAAGAAGAGGAAGAAGGAGGAGAAGGATAGGAAGAGGAAGAGGAGAAACAGAAGAGGAGGAAGTAGAAGGAAGAGGAAGGGAATACAAACAAGAAAAAGAAGAGGAAGAAGGAAAAGAAGAGGAGGAGGAGGAGAAAAAGAAGAGGAAGAAGAGGAAGAAGGAGGAGAAGGATAGGAAGAGGAAGAGGAGAAACAGAAGAGGAGGAAGTAGAAGGAAGAGGAAGGGAATACAAACAAGAAAAAGAGGAAGAAGGAAAAGAAGAGGAGGAGGAGGAGAAAAAGAAGAGGAAGAAGAGGAAAAAGGAGGAGAAGGATAGGAAGAGGAAGAGGAGAAACAGAAGAGGAGGAAGTAAAAGGAAGAGGAAGGGAATACAAACAAGAAAAAGAGGAAGAAGGAAAAGAAGAGGAGGAGGAGGAGAAAAAGAAGAGGAAGAAGAGGAAAAAGGAGGAGAAGGATAGGAAGAGGAAGAGGAGAAACAGAAGAGGAGGAAGTAGAAGGAAGAGGAAGGGAATACAAACAAGAAAAAGAGGAAGAAGGAAAAGAAGAGGAGGAGGAGGAGAAAAAGAAGAGGAAGAAGAGGAAGAAGGAGGAGAAGGATAGGAAGAGGAAGAGGAGAAACAGAAGAGGAGGAAGTAGAAGGAAGAGGAAGGGAATACAAACAAGAAAAAGAAGAGGAAGAAGGAAAAGAAGAGGAGGAGGAGCTTGAGAGGGAAGAAGAGGAAGAAGAGAAGAAAAATGAAGAAGAAAAAGAGTAAGGAGAGGAGGAGGAAGAAGAAAAAAAGGGGGAAGAAGAGAGAGAGGAGAAAGGGAAGAAAAAGAAGAGAAAGAAAGAGGAAGAGGAGGAAAGAGGAAGAAAAAAGAAAACAAGAAAGAAGGGGGAGGAGAAGGAGGAGAGGAGAAAAAGGAAGAAGAAAAATAAAAGAAGAGAAAGAAGGAAATGAAGAGGAGATGGAGAGAGAAGAAGAGGAAGAGAAGGAGAAATATGAAGAAGGAAAAAGAAAAGGGAAATGAAGAAGGAAAAGTAGAGAAAGAAGGGGAAGAGAAAGGTGAAGAATAAGAGAAAGAAGAGGGAAAAGATGAAGAAGAAAAAGAGAAAGAAGAAGAGGAGGAGGAGAAAGATGAAGAAAAGAGGGGGAAGAAGAAAGAAAGAAGAAAGAAAGAAGAGAAAGGAGAAGAAGAAGAGGAGGAGAATCCCGCCACCCTGCTCCCCTCCCCGGTCTCTCACCTGGGATCCCCGTAGTACCCCGGTGCGCAGCGCTCGCAGTGTGGCCCCTCGGTGGGGGCGGCGCAGAAGCAGGCCCCGCTCTCCCCGTGGCAGAAGCCCATCTCCTCCAGCCCGTGGCCGTTGCAGGCGCACTCCTGGCAGCCCCCGGGGTCCGAGCCGTTGCCAAAGCTGCCCGGGCGGCACAGCTCGCACCGCTCCCCCTGCGTCCAGTCTGGGATGGACCGAGAGAGAGAGAGAGAGAGAGGAAGGGTTATGCACAAGCACGGGCCACCCCCGAGATACAGACATATGGCTTGCAAACAACTCACACTTGAGAACGGGGCTGTGCAGGATGGCCTTTGGGGTCCCTTCCAAATCTAGAATACTATATATATATACTAGCCATCCCCTGCCACGCGTTGCTGTGGCCCACTTGGGGGTTCTGTGTGGAAAGTTTTGCCCAATTCTATCATTGGTGGAGTTCAGAATGTTCTTTGGTTGTAGGTGAACTATAAATCCCAGCAACTGCAACTCCCAAATGTCAAGATTCTATCCTCCCCAAACTCCACCAGTGTTCACATTTGGGCATATTGAGTATTTGTGTCAAGTTTGGTCCAGATCCATCATTGTTTGAGAGTCCACAGTGCTCTCTGGATGTAGGGGAACTACAACTCCCAAACTCAAGGTCAATGCCCACCAAACCCTTCCAGTATTTTCTGTTGGTCATGGTAGAACTGTGTGCCAAGTTTGGTTCAATTCCATCGTTGGTGGAGTTCAGAATGTTCTTTGGTTGTAGGTGAACCATAAATCCCAGCAACTACAACTCCCAAATGTCAAGATTCTATCCTCCCCATACTCCACCAGTGTTCACATTTGGGCATATTGAGTATTTGTGTCAAGTTTGGTCCAGATCCATCATTGTTTAAGTCCACAGTGCTCTCTGGATGTAAGGGAACTACAACTCCCAAACTCAAGGTCATTGTCCACCAAACCTTTCCAGTATTTTCTGTTGGTTAGGGGAGTTCTGTGTGCCAAGTTTGGTTCAATTCCATCATTGATGGAGTTCAGAATGCTCTTTGATTGTAGGTGAACTATAAATCCCAGCAACTACAACTCCCAAATGACAAAATCATTTTTTTTTGAGTGATGGTCACTCCTTGTGTTGTGAGACGTTTTGTTGCCAAATTTGGTGTGATTTCGTTCATTGGTTCTTTTGTTTTTAAGGTACTCATTACGCACAGAGCATTTTTATATATATAGATATATATATGTGTGTGTGTGTATACACACACACACACGTATACATACACACATATACACATGCACATGTGCACACACTACCTCATATCTATCCATCTACATACACAAGTAGTCCCTGAGTTACAAACATCTGATTCACAGTTAAGAACAGTGTTAGACTGGATGGCCTTTGGGGGTCCCTTCCAAATCTATGATACGATATCTATGTCATATATATATATATATATATATATAATAATAATAATAATAATAATAATAATAATGCACCTGTTTAATAATAATAATAATAATAATAATAATGCACCTGTTTAATAATAATAATAATAATAATAATAATAATAATAATGCACCTGTTTAATAATAATAATAATAATAATAATAATGCACCTGTTTAATAATAATAATAATAATAATAATAATGCACCTGTTTAATAATAATAATAATAATAATAATGCACCTGTTTAATAATAATAATAATAATAATAATGCACCTGTTTAATAATAATAATAATAATAATAATGCACCTGTTTAATAATAATAATAATAATAATAATAATGCACCTGTTTAATAATAATAATAATAATAAACCTGTTTAATAATAATAATAATAATAATAATGCACCTGTTTAATAATAATAATAATAATAATAATGCACCTGTTTAATAATAATAATAATAATAATAATAATGCACCTGTTTAATAATAATAATAATAATAATAATAATGCACCTGTTTAATAATAATAATAATAATAATAATAATAATGCACCTGTTTAATAATAATAATAATGCACCTGTAATAATGATAATAATAATAATGCACCTGTTTAATAATAATAATAATAATAATAATAATAATAATAATGCACCTGTTTAATAATAATAATAATGCACCTGTTTAATAATAATAATAATAATAATGCACCTGTTTAATAATAATAATAATAATGCACCTGTTTAATAATAATAATAATAATAATGCACCTGTTTAATAATAATAATAATAATAATAATGCACCTGTTTAATAATAATAATAATAATAATAATAATAATAATAATGCACCTGTTTAATAATAATAATAATAATAATAATGCACCTGTTTAATAATAATAATAATAATAATAATAATAATAATAATGCACCTGTTTAATAATAATAATAATAATAATAATGCACCTGTTTAATAATAATAATAATAATAATAATAATAATAATAATGCACCTGTTTAATAATAATAATAATAATAATAATGCACCTGTTTAATAATAATAATAATAATAATAATGCACCTGTTTAATAATAATAATAATAATAATAATGCACCTGTTTAATAATAATAATAATAATAATAATGCACCTGTTTAATAATAATAATAATAATAATAATGCACCTGTTTAATAATAATAATAATAATAATAATGCACCTGTTTAATAATAATAATAATAATAATAATAATGCACCTGTTTAATAATAATAATAATAATAATAATAATGCACCTGTTTAATAATAATAATAATAATAATAATAATGCACCTGTTTAATAATAATAATAATAATAATAATAATGCACCTGTTTAATAATAATAATAATAATAATAATAATGCACCTGTTTAATAATAATAATAATAATAATAATAATGCACCTGTTTAATAATAATAATAATAATAATAATGCACCTGTTTAATAATAATAATAATAATAATAATAATAATAATAATGCACCTGTTTAATAATAATAATAATAATAATAATGCACCTGTTTAATAATAATAATAATAATGCACCTGTTTAATAATAATAATAATAATGCACCTGTTTAATAATAATAATAATAATAATAATAATAATGCACCTGTTTAATAATAATAATAATAATAATAATAATAATAATGCACCTGTTTAATAATAATAATAATAATGCACCTGTTTAATAATAATAATAATAATAATAATGCACCTGTTTAATAATAATAATAATAATAATAATGCACCTGTTTAATAATAATAATAATAATAATAATAATAATGCACCTGTTTAATAATAATAATAATAATAATAATAATAATGCACCTGTTTAATAATAATAATAATAATAATAATGCACCTGTTTAATAATAATAATAATAATAATAATAATAATGCACCTGTTTAATAATAATAATAATGCACCTGTTTAATAATAATAATAATAATAATGCACCTGTTTAATAATAATAATAATAATAATAATAATAATGCACCTGTTTAATAATAATAATAATAATGCACCTGTTTAATAATAATAATAATAATAATAATGCACCTGTTTAATAATAATAATAATAATAATAATAATGCACCTGTTTAATAATAATAATAATAATAATAATGCACCTGTTTAATAATAATAATAATAATAATAATGCACCTGTTTAATAATAATAATAATAATAATAATGCACCTGTTTAATAATAATAATAATAATAATAATAATAATAATCTCCCCAGGGGTCTCGGTGCGGCTTACATGAGGCCGAGCCCACAATACATCAATACAAACAATAACAGGAACAATACAAGGCAATTAAAATAAATCTCATACGCATATATATGGCTGGAGTTAGACTTTAAACAATGCACCTGTTCCGAATTGCAAATTCAACCTAAGCACAGGCCAACAGAACCGATCTCGTTCGTAACTTGGGGGCTGCTTGGACATGCAGTACTTTTGGAAATGAATGGCGAGTCCCGCGCATTGTTTGGTGGGGGAAGCGCAATGGCACTCACTCATGCACTGGTCGCAAACGCCGGGCCCGTGCGCCTCGCATCGGCTGTGGAAGTGGCACCCGCAGTCCACGTTGCACTGGACCCCGGAGGGCGCTGGCGTGGCCCCCGTGACGGCCTCGGTGGTCCAGCCCAGGTCGCAGAGGCAGGTGAAGTTGGGGGACCCGCTGCACTCCCCGTGCGCGCATTCGTCGTAGCAGCTGCGTCGGGGAGCAAGGCAGGACACAGAGCGGTCACACAGGGGGACATCATGCACACACCAATGGCCAAAGTTCAGCCTCTCTCCAGACCTGCTGGAACCCTCCTTTGCAAAGCTGATGCTGCTCAAAAGGCTTCCAGCTGGACAGAGGATAAGAACCCCACCCCACCCCCCACCCCCCGCGCACCGAGGGTCAAGGGTGAGGGTGGGCTCACGTCTGGTTGCACTCGGCCACCCCGTCCCCGGCGTATCCGCGGTTGCAGTGGCACTCGAAGGCGTCGGGGGTGTTCCTGCAGCTGGCGAAGGGGTGGCAGTTGGCCAGGCCCAGGCGGCACTCGTCCACGTCCGGGCACTGGCCGTAGGACCACCGGGCCGGGAGGGACGCCGGGAACGAGAGCAAGGCCAGCAGGGCCGCCGAGCAGTTCGGGAAGCCGCTCAGGCCGGAGAAGTCCCCCGGGAGGCACCTGAGGGAGGGAGGAAGGAAGGAAACCACAAGCTGAACATCAGCCAAGAGAGCAATGCAGCAGCGGAAAAGGCCAATGCGATCACAGGCTTTGTCAAGAAGGATCGAGATGGAAAGATGTAACACTGGATCTAGGAGATCTGTCTGGAGAGGGAGGAGGAGGCTAGACTGGATGGCCTCTTCCTTACTGGCAGTAGGGGGTTGGACTGGG